CATTTTTTCCTGCAGTGCTTATAGCCTTTAACCTTCCTAGATAATGTACTTATTGTGCTCATTGCTGATTTTCTATGTCCTTCACTAGAATATAAGCTCCTTGAGGGCAGGGATTTTTCTTCTGTTTGCTGATGTATCGCAAACACCTAAACCAGTACTTGGCACTTAGTAGGCACGTAATAATTATTTGCTGAAAGGATGATTGAATAAAATTTCCATTTAGAGTTTAATTGGTAACTTGACTCTTTGTTCAACTGGCCAAAGGAAACTATTTTCCACCCCAGGGAAAGTTAAGATTCAGGAGTAAAATGTTGTAAGAAATCACCCACTATACTCATCTCCCTCCTTCAATATACGTACTGGGAAAATTGGACTGGCAAAATCACTGTCAGTTGGGGACCGTATAAGGTGAGGGGCCTTGGTTGAGGGGTGTTTTTGATCTGTGCACTGTAGGTGTGCTTGTGGGTCCCTTGCATGTCACTAGAGGTTCTGGTGCCTTGCTTCAAAAGCACCACATAATCAGGACCCAACTCATTTCACTGGCCACCATTTTTCTTCACTCATACTGAGCGCGTGGGGTCTGGTTCTGTGCAAGGCTGAGAGAGGGGCTGGGGAAGAGCTCATTCTCTCTCTCTCACCATGAACTTTTCCTGGCAGCCAAGATGATGAGATGGCAAAAGGCAGACCAATGGCTACTCCAGAAATGCATTGGCGGGGTCAGAGGGATGTGGCGCTTCTACACCTACCTCAAGGGCAGTGCCGGTGGGTTCTTACAGTTGTTTCTGGGGCGTTTGCAAGTTCTTAACAGCTTGAGAGTTATATGTGTCTACGGTGACTGTAAAAAATGTTTTATAATGTATAGGGTAAAAGTCTTTGAAAACTGGGGTCCATAGTGCAGGTTAGGGAAAAAGCAATCAGAGTTCCTTTCATTCATTCATTCATTCATTTAAAAATGTTTATGGAGCACCACTGTACGGCAGCCACTGTGCTAGTAGGTGGGGATACGAAGATGAACAAGAGCCATAAGTCCCCGCTTCTTAAGGCTGCCATGACAATGGGGAGACAGACAAGCAACAAGTAAACAAATAAATCCCTGTGGCAGAAGTGTTGGCAAGCACCGCTTCCTGTTCTATCGGGTCCAGTAGTTGATAGTGCTGAGAGGCTGGCAGCCAGCACTGGCTGACACACCAATTCAGCAATGTTAAGTTTCACCTGGGGACAAACCCTAGTTTAAGGGTGAAATCCTGCATCTCCAGGGAGCAGGTAGGGAAGAACTAGACAGACTATCCTTCGGTTTGTCACCCAGACTTCAGCTCTGGCGAAGTTATAAAACAAGGAATGTCGTCTTTGGCACCTTTTGGCTCCACGTCCTTCTGTAGGCTCTTCTAGATCCATGATCTAGGAAATGTTCTTTTTCCTCTGATCTTTATTTTTTGGATAAAACTCAAATGTCTCACGACCTATCCTCAGAGTCTTGCAGTTTTACCTAAAGCGACAGTTTTTCTAACAACAAAAAAGTCACAAAAGATCCCTATCCATTAAGTCTCTTCTCCCCGTGCCTCCCATCCACCCCCACATTAGGAGACGATGCCTTAACCAAGAGGGGTGACTAATGGTGATGTTTGAGGCAGTAAAGAAGGCTGGTGGGGGGGAGGTATGAGCTGCTACACCCAGATGCAACCACTGAAGGGGCGAGATTGGGGTGCAGCTCTGTGCCTACCCTATCTGATCTGTAGGTGAAGAGCTGGTGGATTTCTGGATCCTTGCTGAGAAGATCCTGAGCATAGATGAGATGGACCTGGAAGTGAGAGACCACTACTTGTCCCTCCTCCATGTGCTGAAGGCCACCCATCTGCAGGAGGGCTCAAGGGTGCTGACTCTCTGCAACATGAACATCAGTAAGAATCATAAAGCATGTCTGAAGTGAAATCCCTGGGAGATGTAACGAAAAAAATCAAGCCAGTGTCTGATGATCCTCAGACTGCCACCCTCTCCATCTTCTCTGTATCAGGGATGCCAGAGGGAACCCTAACCCTTTACAGGGAAGGGATGAGAGAGACCAGTTGTCTTTAGGCTGGTATTCTCCTCTTCCTTACTTGCGGATTAAGGTTGGCTGGAAGGAGTAAAGAGGAATTGGGACAGGGTAATTGAACACCTCTTGCATCTTCTGAGACTTCATTGCTTGTCATTTTTTAAATTGGAATTCTCTAGAACAAATGACAGCCTGCAGGCCAAATGCAATACAGGTCGCCTATGAGCTAAGAATGTTGTTATGTTTTTAAAGAGTTAAAGAAGAAGAAGGAGCCAGCTCAGTGGTATAGTGGTTAAGTTTGCATGCTCCACTTTGGTGGCCCAGGGTTTATAGGTTTGGATCCCAGGTCCGGACCTAGCACCACTTGTTAAGCCACGCTGTGGTGGTGTCCCACATAAAATAGAGGAAGATTGGCACAGATGTTAGCTCAGTGACAGTCTTCCTCAAGGAAAAAAGGAGGAAGATTGGCCACAGATGTTACCTCAGAGTCAATCTTCCTCACAAAAAAAAAAAAAAGAGGACTGTGTAACAGAGACTGTGTATGACTCACAAAGCCTAAAATATTTACTTTCTGACACTTTACAGAAAAAACTTGTCAATACCTCCTCTAGAACATCAGATGCATCCAAATTTATTTGTTTATTTATTTGTTTGTTTGTTTATAAGTGAGGAGGCATTCCTAACCCAAATAAAATGTGGTTCCAAAAATTTGCTGTTTGGGATTAATCACATTCCTCTCTATTCATATAGATAATTGAGAATTTACAACATTAAAGTCAGGGCTGGTAAAGATTCCTTCAAATTATTTAGTCCAAATGCCTTCCTCCAGTTAGATCTGGCCCTAAGAAATTCCATTCAGAGGTACATGTCTCCTGTACTTAAGCATGTTTTCTTGTGCCTTTTGCTTTTCTTTACAATAACATTCAACAGTCTAGAAAATAACTCAAAGAATCCCATAAAAATGTTTATTTCTATTGGGAAGAAGGAAGGTAATCAGAGAAAGGGGCCACTGTGCACTGAGCAAACTCTAAAAATGTGGGCTCCCTGTTCGACCTGTCCACACCCCAGGATTGTATGAGAAACAAATGAAATGCTTTACACAACATTTGGAAAAATTCAGATCTCTCCAACATCAGCATCAGCACCATTACCACATCATTTTTATCCTTCATCTCTCTGTATTCTTTCCAGAGTCCCTCCTGAACCTCTCCATCTGGCATCCCAACCAGTCAACCACCAGAAGGGAGATCCTGAGCCACATGCAGAAAGTGGCTCTGTTTAAACTCCAGAGCTATTGGCTCCCCAACTTTTACACCCACGCCAAGACGATCATGGCCAAGGAAGAATCATGCCAAGGTCTGATGCAGGAATATGAGACTCGCCAGTGCAGTATTTGCTATACCCACGGAGGAGGGCTCCCTCTGAACATGAGCATCAAGAAGCACCATCAGCCCCAGAAGCGGTACTCAAGCAGGAAAACCAAGAGGAAGATGTGGCAGTTGATAGACCATGGCTGTTGGTCTCTGGAAATGGATACCAAGCCCGACACTAACACTATGTTCCCCCAAGAGATGTGTCCCCAGGAGAAGGTGGTTATACAAATGCCTTCCCTGGAAGTGACCTCTTCAAAGGAGAGAATAATCAGTTCCCTGGAAAAGGATATTTTCTGTGCCAGGAAGTCCAACGCGAAGAATAAAGCCAAGAGCCAACTCCACATGGAGGGCCTCTTTGAAACGAAGTTCTCTGCCCACCTGAGGACTGTCACCCCCATCATCAGTCACTCTCCCCAGATGATAATCAAGAAGGCCATCAAGCAAAGCCTCCCCTTGGGGTATACCCACTGGGCCTTGCGAGCTGATGCCTGTGCAGGGAGTCCCTTCCGGGACCACCTGAAGAAGTTGAATTTGAAAGTGGAGACCCAACTCCTGGACCTCTGGCAGGACCTGCACCATTTCCTCAATGTCCTGATGAGTAACAGGAAGACTGGGAATGCTGTCTTTCGGCACACGCTGGGCAACCGAATCTGTGAGCTCCACCTGAATAAGCAGATTAGCCCATGCCTACCACTCAAATCCAAAATCATTGATGGCCTGAAGGAGCTCCTCCCTTCTGGAGATGTGAGCCCCTGGATTCCCATAGCCCAGAAGGAGATCTGCAAGGTAGGTCTCACCTCATAGAAATGGGTTAGTATCTGTAAGATTAGGTCAAGACTGACCAAAAATCTTATCTGGTCATCTATACTGGCTAAGTTAATGACATGATTATCCACATAACCTTTCACATACTGAAGAGTTGGTTGATCTCTTAGGAGAAACCATACAAATTCCCAAGAACCAGCCAATACTCCAAAGCAAAATGGAGCTGAGGCAGTGGTCAATATCCATCTTTTATTTCTTCTTCAATTCCCCCTTATATGGAGTCTCCCAAAACCATGAACCTTGGAGTATTCCATTGAGGGAAGTTTTAAGAACTCCGTTCAAAACACTGTGTATTGAAATGCAAGGTCTCTCCTTCCTAGACTGGACAGAAAGGAAATGGGGAATTGGGAGGGGCTTACTCTTACCCTAAAATATTAGATAGAAGCATGGGCCTATCCTGAAAACTCACAGGAAGTAAGGCCCATAGCTTGACTATTGTATCATCGAGATCTTGGCAGAAAACAAATGGCAGAGTTAAGTTGGGTAACAGATGAGATCCCAGTAAAAGGGACTACTTACAAAGGAATGGGCATAAGGGTAGGGAAACCATAGAGGATAGTGCAACACCCCAGAGCAAGTAAGGGGGAATCACTTTTATGACTCTTAGGCCTAAAGAGTTGAGGAAAGGGAGCAGTTATCAGAACCAGGAGAGAAACAGCTGTATGAAGTGAAACATTGGCAGGAGCTGTAATGGTCAGTAGAGAGGTATAACCAGTCCACAGTGATCTGGCCAAGAGGGATCGGGGAATAGATACACCAAGCTCACTCACCTCCTGTTTTCCCATCTCCTGCCTGGACTCCTGACTGGAGAAACCCAACCAGAGCTCAAGGGAGCTGGTTGATATGGTCCGTACAGCTTAAATTCCCAAGGTACAGACAGGGTAAAGAAGGGTAGAGAGTAGATCTGGAAGAGTAAGTGGATATAAACAGCAAAATTATTTAGTGCGTTATAATGTATCTACCTTATAAAGTATATTCATGCATATTACCTCCTTCAGGCTTCTTAGCACCTCCTAGAAGCAGACAGGGTGCTATTGTCACCACTGTTGTATAATTGTGGCAAATGGACTCAGAGAGGGTAAGTGGATTAACCCAAAGGCACACAGCAGGCTGGTGGAGGAACCAGGGTCAGAACCCAGGAGTTTTTGGTCCTAAGTCCAACACAATTTCCAATACACCATAATTTTCCAGGCTTGCACATCTGGGTAGTGTAGGACCAGATCAGTCTGGTAGATCCACAGGCAGAGCTCTCCTTTGCACAATTCTTGAGTAGTGGAAGCCCAGAGGCCCCCTTGCCCTTTGTGGAGGCATTTGGGGCTAGAGGCTTAGGCTAGGGCTGTGCTTCATGGATCAGCAGATATCCACAGAGCAAAGCCCCCTGCCTGGGCCTTGGTCTTCAGTTTCTCAGATTAAAAATATTGATATCCTCCATGACTCACTTCTTTGTCTCACACTCATGTCTAATCTATTGGTGAATCCTGTTGGTTCTACCTTAAAAATATATCCAGAATCCAAAAGTTCCATGCACCCCTATGTTCATCGCAGCATTGTTCACGATAGCCAAGTCATGGAACCAACCTAAGTGCCCAGCAACTGATGATTGGATAAAGAAGATGTGGTATATATATACAATGGAATACTACTCAGCCATAAAAAAGGACAAAGTCGTCCCATTCACAACAACATGGATAGACCTTGAGGGTATTGTGTTGAGTGAAATAAGCCAGACAGAGAAAGACGAACTCTGTATGACTCCACCCATAGGTGGTAGTTAACATATGGACAAAGAGAACTGATCGGTGGTTGCCAGGGGAAAGAGGGGTGGGGGGAGGGCACTAGGGGTGAAGTGGTGCACCTACAACATGACTAATAATAATTTCACAAGGATGTTAATTTTCATGACCTTAATTAAAAAAAATTTCAGGAAAAAAAAATATATATATATATCCAGAATTGGCATTTCTCCCCTCCTCTGTCACAGTCATTCTCATCCAGTCTTGCCTGGGTTACTACAATGGCCTGCTGGCTGATGCCTCTGCATCTACCCTAGGCCCTCAGTAGGCTCATTTCCACACTTGCCACAGTGATTCCACCAAAACATAAGTTGTGTAATTGAACTGAAAATAAGCAAAAGGAAGTCAGTGAGGACTTTAAAAACAGATGGCTTTCTGTCTCCAGTAAAATCCAAAGCCCTTGCTAAAACTAACAAGGCAGACATGATCTGTCCTCCACCTCCCCTCTCTGGCTCCATCTTCCTCCGCCCCTGTGCTCATCACTCTGGCCATGCCAGGTATACTGCCAGCTCATCCGTGCTGCTCCTGCTGTGTGTAACATGCAGGTCCTGCATGGCTGAGTCCCCACTCCCTCAGGTCTTTACTCAAGTCATCTCAGTGAGGCCTTCTTTGCCCATTCCTATCAAATTTCAACTCTATCCCCATTTTACTTTTCTCCTTAGCTCCTATCATTATCTAGATCCATCCATCTATCTTTCCATATATAAGTACATACCTATACTATGTGTGTGGGGGGGTATACAAAATACAGGTATAATCCTTACAGTCTACATGTATACATACGTATATACAACATACATCTATTATATACACATACAATATACTTGTATTATATTTTAAATAGATACCTAATATGTATATATGTTATATATTTTAAACTTATTTTGTTTATTTTCTTTCTCCCTATGAGGGCAGAGATGTTCATCTGTTTTGTCACTACTGTCTCCTCAGCATCTAGAACACTACCTGACAGTGTAGTGTTCAGTGTTCAATAGGGCTGATAGACATCCATACTCAAGAGACACTTGTTGAACCAATCAATCCCAGTTGGAAATGACCACTCTTTTGACCTTGCCCAGGACTATCGTTTCTAGTTTGAGACAAGTGACTCTGTAGGAACTCTGATTTTCATCCATCTGCTCAACCATCCTCCAGTTATCCAACTAACTTCTGTTGAATGCTGAAAGCATGCCGGCCAATTTCTCTATTTCCTGACTTCTCACTCACTGACGTGGAAACATGGAGTAGAGGAAACAGTTACTTTAAGTCCTGGCTCTGTCACCATTTGGCTATGTGGTTTTAGACAAACTCAAAGTCTAAATTTTTAAATTTCCCCAGGTCTCTTTGTCCTCATACAGAAAATGAGAATTGGGACAAAATCTTATTGTATAATTATATTTGTGAATTTAATAAGTTTATAGATATATTGAGGATACTATACTATAAAGGGCAAACAGGTAGAGAGAAGAGGGTGTGAACCTGGAAGACAGAGCATCGGCCTAAAAATCTGATCTTGGTTCTAACCAACGAGGGAAGGACTGAGAGAAAGTGGTAGCAGTAAAGAGACCCACAGACACTGGCAAGAGACCAACTAGAATGACAAGAAATTAAACTAAAATTCTTTAATTGAATAAAGAGAAGATCTAATAGAAAGTAGACTCAAGGTTACCAGGGGCTCAGGGAAGTAAAATGGGAGTTATTGGTACAGAGTTTCCATTCGAGGTGATGAAAAGATTTTGGAATAAACAGTAGTGATAGTTGTGTACCATTATGCGTATGATTAATGTCGCTGAACTACATACTTAAACATGGTTGAAATGGTAAATTTCCTGTTATATGTATTTTACCACATTAAAAAGTTTTTTTTTTTTTAAGAGAGAAAAACTTTTAGAGAGAAAGACACAAAGGATATTGAGTTTTAGTGAAGAGAGTAGACAGCAGGGAATTTGAATTCCAGTTTCCCCACTTTCAAATCATTTGATCTTAGGTAGAAGGTTGCTGGGTCCTTCTAACCCTTATCTCCACATTGGTACAATGGGGATCATAATAGCTCCTTCAGAAAAAGACACAGTGTGTATGATATCTGGCAAGTAATAAGTACACAAATGCCATCCTCTTCCAACCCTTTATCAGACCATGGAATCTTAGAATAGGACGAGGACTTTGAGGTTCCCTCAGCCTCTTCTCTTGTTGTACAGACGATCAGCCAAGGTCTAAGCTCTCACTACTGTGAGCGCAGAGCCTATGTCGGATTTCTGCTCAGTCTATTGCCGGGTCAGCAAACTACAGTCCAGGAGCCAAATCTGGCTTACCACCTGTATTTGCATGGCCAGAAAACTAAGAATGGTTTTACGTTTTTTTTTATTAGGATTATGATATTTAACAACCTTGTGAAATTTCAGTCGTACATTATTGTTAGTCATGTTGTAGGTACACCACTTCACACTTTGTGCCCTCCCCCTACCCCCCTTTCCCCTGGTAACCACCCATCAGTTCTCTTTGTCTATATGTTAACTTCCACCTATGAGTGGAGTCATACAGAGTTCGTCTTTCTCTGTCTGGCTTATTTCACTCAACATAATACCCTCAAGGTCCGTCCACATTGTTATGAATGGGGCGACTTTGTCCTTTTTTATGGCTGAGTAATATTCCATTGTACATATATACCATATCTTCTTTATCCAATCATCAGTTGCTGGGCACTTAGGTTGGTTCCATGTCTTGGCTATTGTGAATAATGCTGCGATGAACATAGGGGTGCATGGGACTTTTGGAACTGCTGATTTCAGGTTCTTAGGATAGATACCCAATAGTGGGATGGCTGGGTTGTAAGGTATTTCTATTTTTAACTTTTTGAGAAATCTCCATACTGTTCTCCATAGTGGCTGCACCAGTTTGCATTCCTACCAACAGTGTACGAGGGTTCGTTTTTCTCCACAGCCTCTCCAACATTTGTCACTCTTGGTTTTGGATATTTTTGCCATTCTAACAGGTGTAAGGCGATATCTTAATGTAGTTTTGATTTGCATTTCCCTGATGATTAGTGATGATGAGCATCTTTTCATGCGTCTATTGGCCATCTGTATATCTTCTTTGGAGAAATGTCTGTGGTTTTACATTTTTTTAATGGTAAGAAAAATATCAGAAGAAGAATGTATCATGACACATCGATATTATATGAAATTCAAATTTCAGTGTCCATAAATAAAGTTTTATTGCAACATAGCTATGCCCATTTGTTTATGTGTTGTCATGTGCTAAGTGCACAGTTGAATAGTTCCAACAGAGACCATAAGGCCCACACAACCTCAAATATTTATTATCTGACCCTTTACCCAATACTCTGAGGAGCGGCCAGGAGGGTTTACTGAGTGACGAACAAACTCAATTCTGAAGAAAACCCTAATACATTCTAACAAAAAACAATTATAGGAAAAAAGAGACAATATAAAAAATAAAAATAGTATGTCAAGTTAAAAAAAAAGCAATTATAGGGTTTTTAGATATTGTTTTATTATATTTATTTATTACTATTATTTTGATGCATATCTGATTATTTCTTTGAATGGAAAATGCTCTATTAAACATTATTTCTTAAGAGCCCAGTTTGGAGGGAGTGACATCAGCATCATGGTGGAGTGAGTTGTTCCTTTTGTCTCTCTCCTCTAAGTTACAACCAGTAGGACATCCATAGACCAACAGAGGACTCTGCACAGCACATCAGAACGCCTGAATGATACATACATCTATACATCTGAAGGTGGGTGGACTGGACATCCTGGAGGCAGTAGATCTAGGGGTGCAGTGGCGGCAGCTCCCAAGACTGGACGTCCCAGGGACTGCAGCTGTGCCTGTCACCAGAGGCCCCAGGAACTGAGGTAACACTCATGAATGGAGGCCCCAGGAATCCAGGCAACCCATGTTCCCAGAGGCACCAGGAATCACTACAGGCTCACAACCAGAGGCTCCTGAAACCACGACAATATGTGTGACCCAGCTACACTTCTCTCCCAGCTGCACCTCTGAAACTGGCCCTTCCAGCAGTGGGGGCTGCATCTAAGACCCTGATACCCCTGGCAGCAGCACTGGTGCCCATGACATGAGGTTCTAA